GAGAGAGAGAGAGAGAGAGAGAGAGCCGGTAAAATAGGTTTGATCATTAAATATTGCGAAAACGTCGAATCCTGGAGTCCTCATCTTTGTCATATACACATGCGCACGCATACATGCACATAACACACACACGCACGCACGCGCGCGCGTGCACACACACACACACACACACACACACTTGACGCCATTTACTGATATCAAGTCATTTATACAGGTAATAGCAATATACATATCACTAAAGTAAAGTTAATTAACATCAAAGTACAAAGAAAGATACCATGTAGGTTTTATCTTTTAAAATATTATATTTGCATACAAGTTTTTTTGTCAAGGAGCACGCTTACACTTGACACTCTTTTTTTACTTTTTTTTTAAAGTCAATTTTGTAACGATTTTAATTACCTCTCGCGTATAAATCTCTGGCAGTCTCTTTACCGATACCACTACTTGCTCCCGTTATCACAACAGTTTTACCGTCGAGACGTGCTTTGCTTGTACACATTTGATTGAAAAGCCACATTTTAAGATTTTCTGCCCACAACGGCCACGACATTATTAATATGCAATAGCCTATTATTCTATTGCAATTTATATTCAATATTGATTTCACTAAATATGCTCTATTCAACTGTGCACTTTGCTTGACGTTGCTTGTCCAACAATCACACGCGTGTTCTTAGATTAGACTGTCCATAAATAAGTATACGACCGTAAATAATACGATTTTGACGACTTCTATCCAAGAGCGTCTTCTATCACAAGGGGGGACAAAAGGGGCATATGCCCCCCCTCCTCTTCTGTGGAATCAGACAAGTACAAGAAAATTCAGAATTTGCTCTCATTTTTACAAATAATAAATATATATGTTTGTCAAATGTAAAAGACCGTAAGTACAACAAGTACACAACGTTCGGACATTTGCTCCTCGCGGTAGTTTGTACTAATTTGGATCATACCCCCCTCTAAAAAAAATACTGCGGACGCTCTTGCTTCCATCCCTATCCCTCTCATTTCATAGCATTTAGGCTTCCTTCGGAAACGTAGACGTTCGCTCTTAGGAATAACGTTAACTGGAAATCGTACTGGAAAATTGAGTCTAGGGCTGTTACTTTTTACTCACTTCGAATATTCGAAGCTTCGACATTAATTTTCGAAATTTAAGATGCCTTCGAAGTTTAAAATTAATTTCCAAGTTTCAAAGTTTTAAAAAATACATTAAAAATTTGAATTTTCTTAATTAAATCCCTTGTAAAAAAAGAACTACTAATACTGCTGGTATAGCAGTGACTTATTTATACATTTCAGTAGTGTTATGTAGTGTTATCACTGCATTATGTTATATGCAGTGCTCATCAGTGAGAAATAATCACCAATTCGATGTGGAATCGATGTCGAATTGACGTCGATATGATGATTTCGACATCAATTCGACATCGAATTGAAAACCATTTCTCACTGGGGTTATCATTGGTGTTAGTAATTCTTTTTTACAAGAGATTGTTTTATTGATCATTATCTTTCCATATTTACACGTATATCAAGTTTAATTATTAATTTGTAATATTTCAGGTTATAATACTTTAAAATTTTTGAGGAATAATTTTATATATATGTATATATATAATATAAATTTTTTTTACACCGTTGTTTTCAGCACTTTAATTTTTGTCCTTATAAAAATTTAAAAAGCTGATAAAAAATATGATTTTTTAAATTTAAACGTACCATTGTAAAGCGCACTTGAAGTCGTAAAACTTTTATTTAGAACATTTTTTCATATCTTTGACGGTTTACGTGATATTTATTCTGAAAGAAAAAAAAACGACTTTTTTCATATTTTTGTCTGTTTTAACATATCTAAAGCTAAAATCGGAGGGGGACACCGTGTGCGTTCCCTTGTAGGTAAGAAAATAACAATTTTAATTCATACAGTATAGGTATCATCTTTTTATTATTATAATATATATTAATTATATTATATAGTATATATGTATATTATAGTATCATCTTTTTATTTATTGTATTTTTATTTAAATAAAAATACATTTATTTAAATAAAAATACATTTATTTTTAAATAAAAAACCAAAAAACAAAAAAAACGTTTCACGAGTTCTTTGTTAAAAAAAACAATCAAACCTCTCTGTATTTTTAATATTTATATTAAAGATATCTATTTTAATATTTTTTTGAGCCCTTTGTATTATTTCTTTTTATACTCTTGTATTTTACATTTGTCACTTTATTACACATATAATAATTTTGTACAATAAAAATATGTATCAAAGTATAATAAGATATAATAAGCATGATAAACTATTACAATAGAAAGGGGTTTTGATACAGAAAACTATACAGAATACTAATTGTAAGTTGTATAATTGATACATTCTATCCCGGTCTGATAATGACACAATTTATCAATTGTTAAGTCTAAGCAATACGATTATCATCGGACATTTTCTAAGTTAAACTCTTTAAGGAGAGCGATATTTCGAATTATCAAAAACTGCAACATAAGCAACATTGTCAGTAGCGCGGCAGCGCGTTATCGTTTAATTTCTGCAGAAACTCCCCGAAGTCATAAAAATAGCTCTTGTAAGAGATTACACTAAAAATTTCGCTCGTGATACTTCTGGTCGACGTGACATCGCAGGCCAACACAATGTTATATAAATTATTCTACAAAACAATCCCATAATTGCGAATTGGCCGATATTTGGCTAGACCATCCCTGGAATTTGATAAAGAAATGATGAATCAATATGAATGCATATCATCCGAAATGGGCGCTGTTAAATTGCTGTTAATACTGCTCGTGAGAAACGTCGAGAATATTTAAACATTGTTTTGAAATGAAATGTAATCTGAAATTTAAAAAGAAGGATTAGAGTTACATATTTATTCAATAGTCAATACTATAATTTAATAGTTAAATTTTCAGATGATATCTATCTACATATGTGTCTATCATGAAATGACAGACACAGAAATTAATTTTACTTTGCATAATTTCGGAATATTCATAAAATGCAAACTGTGAAATAAAAACATAAAAGTGCATTTTAAAGAGCGTATTATTGTATAAATAAACTATGCGGATAAATATATTGTTACATGTTAAATGTTTTATTCTATCACGCTGGTAATAATTGATGTAAGATATAACAGAATTGTGCTACAGCAAAATTCTCTCCGAAGTGCGACCATACGTTTCACGAAAATTTTTTTCGCGCTGAACACAATGCCGTTTGAAGTAGAGATCCTAAAAGTAGAGACAACTCGCCACGTGACTGTTAGTGGACTTTGATTGGCTAACATTTTCCGTATAATTGAGCTTCATTTGGCTCTGTCAAATGGAGTTACACCATAATCTATTTTGGATAAATAAGGTTATATTAATTCTTAGATCTTCTCTCTATATATACTATAATATTTGTAGTAATAGTGCTATAATTTATAGTAATTAGAATATTAATAGTTAAATAAAAACAGAAATATTATTTTGGGGAATCGGAATGCTGAATATCCTTTACTGGATTTGTTATAGCATCTCGGTGTGCAGCAAACATGTGGCATATTGAAAAATATAAAATCTAAAATCTACAATAAGAATCATATTCTTAATAAAACAGACATTTCTAATCTTCGTACTACTTATTTAACTATAAAGCATCAACGTTTATTAATTCAAAGCTTATTCATAACAACAAATATAGCTTTTTCTCATAATTTTACATAGACATGATAAATTTATAACTTAATTACCAACAATACACGTTTGAAAATAAGACTGTGTTCTAAATAATTATATTAAAAATAATATTTCTCTTTGTAGGTATTTAACTATTAATATCCAATTACTACAAATTATAGCACTATTATTACAAATATTATAGTATATACTAGAGAGAAGATCTAATTAATATAACCTTATTTATCCAAAATAGATTATGGTGTAGCTCTATTTGACAGAGCCAAATGAAGCTCAATTATACGAAAAAATGTTAGCCAATCAAAGTCCACTAACAGTCACGTGGCGAGTCTCTACTTTTAGGGCTTCTAATTTGAAAAATTCGCCTAGCACAAGATTTTGAATAAATTGAAATGAAAGTTGTCGCCATTTTTGGCCACTTTCATTCCAATTTATTGACATGCTAGGCGAATTCTTCAAATGGCATCGTGTTCAGCATGAAAAAATCTTTGGAAAACGTATGTATGGTCGCACTTCGGAGAGAGAAAAAAAAAGTGTTTTTTTGTAGCACAGTGTATAATAAATAAAATTAGTGATATTACTTTAAATGTATAATACGACCTTGAAAAAAAAACTATTTATAAATTACAAAAAATCCAAATGGCAATATCTTCATAACACGATTACGAAAATTTATTTTGTAAATAACATACTTCGAAAGAAGCTGTTGTATCAAATTAAACAAATAAAATTCAAGTTTTGTTATTTTCAATGTATACATGATTTCAAAAAAATTTAATTTTAAAAACCAAAAATATAATATCATCAAAAAAAAGTGAAATCAAAATATTATTCCAAGTAATTGATTAGAATAATCAATATCGTAAAATATACATATATCTAAAAAAAAAATACCAAATTACCAAATAAAACTGAGTGGTACTATATCATCTTATGCATTAAAAGTTAAAACGTAAATGGTAATAGTATTGTATATTTCAATATGACATAAAAGAAATTTCATTACAAAAAATTAAAAAGTATATGTATACTACTGGAAATTATTTTTAATTGTACAACTATATTTAAACAATAAAACCCAAGTGGACTATATCTTTATATCTATTCAACACTTTCCATTCCAACCCAAATGTAGTTATTAAAGGAATTCGTAATAGTACGTACAATATTTTGGGAAGCTATCTCTCACAATCGTAGTAGACTTATTTTAAATTAAGTTTACTACGATTGTGAGAGATAGCTTCCCAAAATATTGTACGTACTATTACGAATTTCTTTAATAACTATTACCATTTGAGTTAAAATGATAGATTTTTTCACAAAATAGGCATTTACCGATAATATCCATATAATTAAAAGAAATAATAATTTATTCCTACAGAAACGTTATCCTTCCGGTAAAGGATACACTGTAGCGTGTCCGTCAATACGTCTCCTGATGAGAGCGCTGGAGTAGTCTCTCGGAGAAAGTAAAAATATTATCGCATAATATAAAATTATAGACGAAGAATGATATTAACAGTCTTATGTCGTATTATACATATTAAGAAGTGCACAAAAGTGCATTTCTTGATCATCGACAAGCTAGAAAAAGACTCTTCAAGAAATCTGATAAGAGTAATTCCACTTCGATAATTCAATTATTACTTTTAAAGTTATATTAAAAATTATAAATTGTAAAGATTTATACAATTATTATTGGGCATCAAGAGCTGCTATAAAAATTTATCTAGTTCCAACTTTCATGGTTTCAATTAGATTTCATATTAATACACAATAATGTAACATTTAATTGGGACTGTTTTGATTCACAGTTTTCTTTAGTTAATAAAATTAGATTAGAATTAGAACAATAGTTAAATAAATAAATATAAAAAATATAAAAATTCGGTAAATACGTATTTAAAATATGTAGGTCAGTGGAAGAGGGGAGAAAAGCGAAAAGAAGGGAGTCATAGAAACTACATTTTCGATATCAATATACAATTACTTACTTTAGCTATTTGTTTCACGGTTCTCGATTCTCGTTCTAAGAGAGCTATAACGGTTACTTCCATTGTGCACAAATTGCGCCGAGTCTATACTGTCATCGCTTACTACTCGACGAAGCTTTCTGTCGCTAATTGAAAAAAAAACAAAAAGTAATTAGAACTGGGTAAAAAAAAATATTTCTATACAATCAGTTCTAAAAATTCTGATTGATCATTTTTCACAACATATTTATAATTTTAGAATTTTTTTATTTGATGACAAAAAAATCTGAATATTTTTAAGCTTTTGACCTGTCAAATCTTCATCAAAGTACATTGATCAAAGCTTTTAGAAAGAGAAAGAGAGAGAGAAATACATAGCAATATACTGTATAAAATAAATTTTTAAGTTCTTGATATATTTACTTTTTTTACTTTTTAAGTTACTTCCCATTTACAATTAACAATATTTTTACATCGGCTAGAGATAATTCCAATATTTCTTCAAATGAGAAATATTTGCATACATAGAATTAAGCTGGGCACAACCATACAAAACAAAGTCTATAATTGTACTGTGTCACAGGTTTTCAAGTTGTCATGCGAAGCAATTTTTTATTTGAAACTAAAATTTAATTTGGGTTAAAAATCATATATTTTTTGGAATAGGGGTAAAATAAACGAAACGGAACTTCTTCTGTTCAAGCATTTACCTAAATATGTAAATATTGAAGTTATACTTATTTAAGTTATAAATATTTTATAGTAGGTAAATTATAAAATCAGACATTATTTATAATATTTATATTGTCAACTTTATGTATGTAAGTTATACTCTCAAATTCTCAAAATATATACTCTCTCTCCTCTCCGTCTCGTCAGGTCAAGTTACCTAGAATAATTTTTATATCTTAGCAACGAGGAAATAAAACTCTGCCATAATTTTTTTACTCATTAAAATCCTTATCTATTTTTTCATTTCCTTATTATAAAAATTATTTTATAACTTAATTTATAACTTTAACTTAATAAATAAAGTTAACAATATAAATATATATTTGATTTTATAATTTATCTAGTATAAAATATTTATATAATAATTTAAGTATAACTTCAACATTAATATACGCGAAGTTTCTATGGTTGAGGTCTCTATGGGTTTTTTTTCACAAAGTTATGCTCACTTGAACATTGGTGTTATTTAGCGCTAACCAAACCCACACACACACACACACACACACACATGCGCGCGCGCGCGCGCGCGCGAGCACGTCTTCCACATGCGCTTCCATTCACTCAGGAACATTCACATGCACGAAGCTTTAGCTTCTTAGCTCACGCCCTCGCCGTAGTCCCCCGCTAGCGCTAAATAACACCGATGTTCGAATATGCATAACTCTGCGAAAAAAAATCAGAGACCTCAACGACCTCGCGTTTTTCTCTTCGTCTTGAAAAGCCCTTTCAAACGAGCCTTTACTCGACCCTATATGCCATTTAAGATTTTCAATTCCCCCGCCCCCTCGGAGGGTCGAAGTGGGTGTTTTTCAGGTTAAATTATAAATTGCATTATGCCATTATAACCTTATCAATCCAATATCTTGAACCGTTTAGAAATTATTTAGGTGGCCCAGAACTTTTGGCGGTCTCAGTATGTACGGACGTAATAGGAACAAGATTGAGAAACATGATATTGAAAAAATGCATTAAAATTTCATTATTTTATTATAGATATAAAATAATGAAATTTTAATGCATTTTTTCAATATCATGTTTCTACTAGTAGTTCAATAAACAAAAATAAATTTTTACTTTTATGTCTATAATAAAATAATGAAATTTTAATACATTTTTTCAATATCATGTTTCTCAATCTTGTTCTAAGTTTTCCATAAAAATTACTGAATCAATTGATTTTTCTTTTGAATATATGTAATGTTCACAAATACTTGTCACTATGTCATCTCTTTTACTACATTTACGTCATTATCTTTAAATGTATTTTCTTACAGATTTGATAAAATTATGAATCAAAATATGTCCTTTTTTTTTAATCGATTGTCATTTTGTTCACAATTAAGTTACATACTTTGTTCATTAAGCTAGGTAAACGACATAATCACATAAAGATAATGATTACAATAAACTTTGGATCGTTTGTTCCCAATCAGAATATGCATTAATTTTGAAACACTGCAAACAGAATTGTTTTAAGACCTTGTCTAATTAATAATATTTTTTTTATTAGATCTTGTTCAATTAATAATATTTTTTTATTAGACGTACAAAACGTAATATAGTTAAATTTTTTCTAAAAATAAAAGATAATTAAACACGTACATCAATGTACTTTTAAGTGTTTTTATTTTACCAAAAAAAAATTCTTAAAAATGACTTTAACACTAGTCATCTAAATTCTTCTTAAACCTATGACAAAATTGATGACACTAAAAATTCAATATTTCGACACGAGTTTTTTCAATATATGTATAATTATATGTTATTTACTGTATATTTTACTTATAATATTTATTGATTGGACATTATAATTGTAGCCGTTTGTACGCAGCAATAGCTATAACAATGACAATTTGTATACATAAATTTGTAAAAAATTATTATACTGATCGTTAATAGCGAAAAGATTAATAAAAAAGAAACAACTTTGAGTGCATTTTAAAGATTCTGATAGCTTTGGCGATAGGAAGATAACTTTCAAAAGTATTTTGATATGTTATCAATAACGGCAGAAACCAAATGTTGTTGTGATCAGTTGTTCTCAAGTTATTGGCAGAAATAGAATATAGAATGAAAATATTGAAACTAAAAATATATTATATTAATTTCATCAAGTTTATTAAATGCATTGTTATTAATTCAATATATATATTATACAATGTATAATAATAGTTCTTAAGGTAGATAAAAATTTAGTTTTGAGTTTACAGTGTAATATTAATGACAAATATATTTTTATACAAAAATATGTATTATATATATTTAACAGCGATTATAATTTCAATATTAAAAATTATCGTAATCTGAGACTTTTTCGCATTAGTTTCTATTGCAAAAATGTAATTAAAATCAATTGTCAAATTATTAAACTTGTCGCCAAAATTATCGGTCTGAGCATGTTCGGATACAATAAATATTACATATAACATTTTGCATATCCATCATTATATAAAAGAAACATTCTCACTGATTTCGTGAATTTGCTGCTGATATCGGTGGAAATAAAGCGGCAGGGGAAATTAGCGGTTGTACCACTGGTCCCATCACGTGTTCTTCTTCTTGCGGCTCTTGAATTGGTGGTAGCGGCGAATCCCAATCGGAATCTGTGGAACTGTTTTTTTCAAATAATATTTCTTTTTAATATGTATACATCAGACATAACATACATTAAATTATATTTGAGCAAAAAAACGAGAATGTACTTTAAGATATAATTTCGTTAATGGATCGCACGAATGAGAAAACATGGAAAATGGTCAACCACGAGAAAAATCGATAAAGCATATAACGATCACAATAAGTGATAAGCATAGACGATAAACCGCTGTTTTTTTGCCTTGGTGAAGAAGAATTTGTAATGTGCATTCTTAGAAATCGCATAAAATTTTCACGTTCACGCGGTACAAAAGTGTGTGCGCGCGCGCACACACATACACACACACACACACAAAAGTGGGTGTTTTATTATTATGTATTATCGATATGATCTTGTATTGCCATGTTGTACGTGTCAATTTATGTAGATAAATACTATACATGCTTGATCGACAAGAATGAAGTATCTTCGCGCTAAGCGTACTCTCTAAATTTTTTGGAGTGAAATTTCACTCTAAAGAGTGAAAATACTGCCACTCAAGTGGCCGAGTGACAATATTTTCGCTCTTTTGGAGTGAGATTTCACTCTTTTAGAGTGAGATTCACTCTAGAAAATTTAGAGAGTAGTTATACATAGTTTACTATAAGTAAACAATCGATTTCTTTCAACATTTAGAAAAAGGCGATCATTAATTAAGATCAAAAAGAAAAACAACACGCGCGATTTTACTTACCTACTGGCTATTCTCAAATCGCTACTAAGGTTGTCGTAAATACTGAATCTGCTGGATATAGGCGGTAATTTTCCATGGCTGAAGGACACAGTTGGTGACATGGCGAGATTGCCGAGGCTATTACTGACATATGTAGCAGCTTGGATCTCTTGTTGATACATGGCGTAGAGATTTTGCAGATCAGGTGGGAGCGCCAAACGACCGTCTGTTATTTAAATTCCATAATTCGAACAAAAGTGTTTAACTTTTATTTATATCCGTGATTAATTTATGCAATAAAACAGGCTCTAAAGATGCATTATTGATATAATGTCTTCTATTTACATACAAATTTATTTAAGAAAAAATATAAATATCTTTATACATCATGTGACTTGCAGAAAAATATTTAGTAGTTGAATAATATGTAAAAAGATTTTAAAATGAGAGCAATACGTAACACCATGTAATTAACTAATATACATATAATATACCCGTAAGATGTCAAAATGTTCTTTTCAGCTAGCGACAAAAACTAAATTAAAAAGGAATAAGAGGTTTGTATAGTCAAAATGGAGTTAAAAGAAGAGTGTATATATAAAAATGGCCAAAATTGGTCTCATGCCGAAACTTAAAAAACTAATTCTATGGTGCTTCTTGGTGTATATGAAAGAACAAAATAACATTTACTCATATAAAATAAAAAATAATTTTAAAAAATAACCAAAATACAAAAAATAGAATCAGTAATCACCATATCCTCGTTATTGGTCCAAGATTAGACAAAAAAGATTTAAAAAATTTTAATATTTTTTTATTAAAAATGGCTGTTGTGTATGAGTCTGAATGCAAAATGCATCTAAAAAGGAGCATAAATGTCTAAATATTAAAATCTATACAAGTTTGATCCTATAGAAATAAAGAAAATTAATACATATATAATGTCATGTATGCAGTATATTTTGTACGTTATTTTACTATTATCAATTTTCTTAGTTTAGTACTAGCTTCTCGGCAATATATTATAAATGTTACTTTTCTCTTTCATATACACCAATTAGAAACACTGGAATTAGTTTTTTAGATTTCGACGAGGCCAATTATTTAATATTTTGGCCATTTTTATACAATCCTCCTTTGTGAATTTATTCAAAGAAAGGAATAAATGAACTCAGTTAGCCGTTTAGGAATCAAGCGCTGCGGTAGCGGCGCGACGCCAAGTATATATAAAATAATATATATAAAATAATATATATAAAATAAAAGTCGGGTGATGACTTGTGAGTATACGGCACTGGCACTGCGCTACCGCTTAGCTTTAATCTCGAAGTTTTGCCTCGTCAGATTTCCGATTTTTAATATCTCGGAAACGAAAGTTCTAATGAAAAAATCTAAATGACACTTTCGCTATATAATAGTCGATACAAGCTTTCGATTGAGACCGAGTCCGAATGAAATACGGTGCAGTCAATCCCGAGA